CTTGTCCGATATGGTGCTGGAAGGGAATTTTATGAAAGGGTTAAAGGCTGAGGTTTGAGCAGCGGCGAAGGTCCTGATGCACAGGGACCTGGGGGAGGCCATGAAGCTTGCACAGTTGGTCGAAAATCAAAAGAACCTGGAGAAGGGAGCTAGGAGTAGTAGTAGCTCAGGAGGCACTTACAAGTGAACGACTACCCACCTAGCCCCCAAGGGAGCGTCCCCAGGAGGGATGAAAGAAACGAAGGAAAAAAGCCACAGGAGGAGGAAATGGGGGGCAGTTCAAGAGGCTCACTTAGAAGGAAATGCAAGAAAAGAGAACAAAAGGGCTGTGTTTTCGATGCAATGAAAAATACATGCCATGGCACAAGTGCAAGGATCGAACTCTTTAAGTTCTCCTCGTTTGTGAAGACGAGGAAGACGAAGAGGGAGGGGGAAGCGATTCTGAGGTGGAGGAAAAGATGCATCTAGATGTGGCAGAAGTCTCTCTCAACTCCGTAGTGATATTCACTACGAGTCACACTATGAAGGTAAAGGGAGAAATAGCTGGCCGTGAAGTCGTGGTGTTGATTGATAGTGGGGCAACCCACAATTTCATTTCCACCCAGATTGTGGAGATGCTGGGGATGAAGTTAGAAGATACTGGAGGCTATGGGGTGATGATGGGCACAGGGAATGTAGAAATGGGAAGAGGAGTCTGCGGGGGGTGGTGCTGAAGATCCAAGGCATACAAGTGAAGGAAGACTTCCTTCTCCTAGAATTGGGGAGTACGGATGTCATCCTAGGGATGAATTGGTTGCAGACATTGGGGGAAACCAAGGTCAATTGGGGCACTCTGCGAATGGAGTTGGTAAAGGGTGGAAGGAAGAGGGTGATTCAAGGGGATGCAATGCTGACCAAGGCGGGGGTTTCTCTTAAATCCCTAATCAAGACAATTCAGGAGGAGGGGGGAGGCTATTTGGTGGAATTACACCGATTAGAGGAAGTGAGTATGGAGGAAGGGGGAGACATACCCCTCTCTGTGCAGCCCTTGATCCAGGAATTCGAGGAGGTTTTTTAACCATCTCTAGGGTTGCCACCACCCAGGGAGCAGGAGCATGTCATCACGTTAAGAGAGGGAGTGTCACCTGTCAGTGTACGACCTTACCGTTACCCTCGGTTTCAGAAGGATGAAATAGAAAAGTTGATCAGAGAAATGCTGGAAGCAGTGATTATCAGGCCCAGCACTAGCTCGTTCTCTAGTCATGTTCTATTGGTGAAGAAAAAGGATGGCAGCTGGCGTTTTTGTGTAGACTACCGCGCACTCAACAAGGAAACTGTACATGACAAGTTTCCCATACCAGTGATTGATGAGCTTCTGGATGAGTTGAGTGGAACAGTGATTTTCAGCAAGATCGACTTGAAATCAGGATATCACCAGATACGAATGAAGAAAGAAGATGTGCCCAAGACCGCCTTTAGAACTCATTAGGGCCACTATGAGTTCCTAGTGATGCCCTTTGGCCTAACCAATGCCCTAGCTACGTTCCAGCACTCATGAATAAGATCTTCAAACAATATCTCAGGCGATTCGTGTTGGTATTCTTCGATGACATCTTAGTATATAGCAGAACAGAGGAGCATTGGGGACACTTAAAGAAGGTGTTAGAGGTTCTCCAGAAGCACCAGTTGAGGGCTAACTTGAAGAAGTGCTGCTTCGCACAAGCTAGTGTGGAATACTTGAGGTATGTGGTATCCAAGGAAGGGTTAGCAGCAGATCAGTCCAAGATTGAGGTCATGCTTAAGTGGTCACTGCCCAAAAATCTAAAGGAGCTGAGGGGATTCCTATGGCTTACAGGGTACTACAGAAGATTTGTAAAGGTATACAGCACTATAGCTTGGCCACTCACTGAGCAGTTGAAGAAAGACGGGTTCTTATGGGGGGAGGCAGCTACGACAGCATTCAAGAAGTTGAAGAAAGCTATGACCACAGTTCTGATCTTAGCTTTACCATATTTTACTCAGGCTTTTATAGTAGAGACAGATGCATCGGGATACGGACTAGGAGCAATGCTGATGCAGAGTCACAGGCCCATTGCATATTTCAGTCAGGTGTTGACTGCCAAAGCCCGGCTAAAATCTGTCTATGAAAGGGAGTTGATAGCAATTGTTTTGGCCATCCAAAAGTGGCGCCCCTACTTACTCGGAAGACATTTCATCGTCAGGACCTACCAGCGGAGCCTGAAATATTTGCTGGAGCTGCGCATGGTGACAGAGGAGCATCAGAGATGGCTATACAAACTGCTCGAATATTATTTTGAGATTCAGTACAGGACATGGGTAGAAAATAAGGCAGCAGATGCTCTGTCCAGGTGCATGGGGGAGCTGCAGACATTGGCTGTATCGGTCCCAATGATGCTAGATTGGGAAACCATAAAGGAGGAGAGTGCCAAGGACGAGGAACTAAGCAAGATCAGAGCTGACTTACTGAAGGAAAAGGGCAGCCACCCAGGGTACTCGTTGGAGGGGGAGAGATTGTTGTACCAAGGGAGGTTCGCGTTACCCAGAACGTCAGTACACATCCCACGCTTGCTCTAGGAATTCCATGGAACTGTAGTGGGAGGTCATTCAGGAGTGCTAAAGACCTACAGGAGACTAGCGGCGGAGCTGTACTGGAAAGGTATGCATAGAGATGTGGAAGAGATGGTATTCAGGTGCGAGGTGTGCCAAAGAAATAAGTATCTAGCTATGTCACCAGGGGGGTTACTACAGCCATTGGGTTACCAGGACGAGTCTGGGAGGAGATATTTATGGACTTCATTGATGGGCTACCCCGCCCTGAGGGATTCACTGTGATTTTGGTGGTAGTGGATAGATTGAGCAAATATGCTCACTTTATTCCTCTACGCCATCCATACACTCCAGTGACAGTAGCGTCAGTCTTCATCAGGGAGATAGTCAGACTACACGGAGTGCCAGAGGCGATAATATCAGACAGAGATAAAGTGTTCCTCAGCCATTTCTGGAAAGAATTGTTCAGACTGCAGGGGACGGTGCTAAAAAGGAGTACAGCTTACCACCCACAGACGGATGGCCAAACAGAAGCAGTCAACCGGAGCTTGGAAACTTATCTGAGATGCTTCGCATCAGAAACACCCAAGCTATGGGCTAAATGGCTATAATGGGCTGAGTACTGGTACAACACCTCTTTTCATTCAGCATCTCAGATGACTCCATTTAAGGTGTTGTACGGAAGGGATCCGCCCCACTTGGTGCATTTTGGGAGTAGCAGCACCCCGTGTCTTCAATAGAGGAGTATTTGGAGGAGAGGGATAAGACACTGGAAGAGTTAAAAAGACATCTGTTGAGGGCTCAACATATTATGAAGAAACAAGCTGATGGGCATCGGAAGGATATTCAGTTTGAGGTGAGCGAGACGATATTTTTGAAACTTTGCCCATATCGATAGAAAACGATCGCCAACCGGAGGAATGAGAAGCTTGCTCCAAGGTACTTCGGTCCTCATGGAGTACTGGAGAAAATTGAAGTCGTGGCATATCGTATGAAGCTACCACCGACAGCAACGATCAATCTTGTTTTCCATGTATCCCAGCTAAGGAGAGCCATTGGAGATTATGCTACCAGTTCTGAGTTACCAGGGACATTAACATATGAAATAGAAATGATATTGGAACCTTTGGAGCTCATGGAGGTTCGTTAGAAAGCAGATGGAGCTACAGAAGTTTTGATTAAATGGAAGAACCTCCCTGACTACGAGGCCACGTGGGAGCCATACGAGCGGATGAAGCGACAGTTGAGGACAATGTGGTTCTTTGGGAGGGCGGTAATGTTAGACCGGTCATCTATGGACCGGTCCAGCCGGCCCAATTCGTTTACCATAGGAGGAAGCCGACGGAACCCAGTGGAGAAAGAAGGGTGGGGTCCACTTGATTTTCAAATTGAATCTTTGAGCCAAAAGGAGTGGAAGCAAGGGCAATTAGGTCCTTTTGTGTTATTTTCGAATTGTATACATTAAGTAGGGAGAAAAGGATAGGTTAGGATTATGTGAAATTTGCTTTGAGTTTTCTTGTTCTTCTTTGGTGGCTGGGGCTCCAGATCGAATTCTAGAGATTGGGAGAGTGCGATCCTCCTCTCGAATAGAGGATCCTTGTATCTTTGCTATTTTCCTTGCATCTACTAGTAAAATACAAGTCTTTTCTCCAAATTCCTCTCAGTTTTTCCCTGTTTTTTCCACTGTTTTGGCTGTTTTCCTGCTGTGGACAGCCGTTTGCATTGGGATTTGTTGTAAAAGTGAATAGGAAATACTTGAAATCAAGTATTTCCTATCAAAATACCAATATATTTGTTGGTGTCTCACTTGATTTTTTTACAAACTTATACCTTAGAGAAGTGATCTTATGGTTGCATAATCCTCAGCTCAAATCTTTTCATACTCATACGCATCAACTTTTTGTGCATGTGAGGTCATGAAAAGCTAGGCCTTAACTACATTCAACCACCATCCCAGCCAAAGACCTTTAGTAAGAATATTTATAGTCTGAATTTTTGTTATAGTATAATTCATTTGGATGATTATTTAATTATTTTTTTATATGAATCAAAATGCAAGATTCAAAAAAAAAAAAAACCCACCATCCCAGCCATAAATAAGCTAGACCTAAACTTATTTATGAATGATGCTTCATAAATAACGAGCCACGCCTCTCCAATTTTAATTTTCATTTACTACATTCAAAACTCAGCCACCATCCCAGCCATTTTTAGTTTCTTCTTATGTCCTTAACCTAACACACAGCTTTCAAATAATTCTGCAGAACCATTAATATGATGCAGAAAACATGCCCAATGCATATTTACCAGACAAATATGCCAGATATGCTTTAAACTCTATAAGAGATAAGAGTTGTCTTCCTAGCCAAGTTTTTATAAAATGACGTTTTCAGAACTAAAAAATAAAACATTGCTTGTTACGGATTAAGAATTCAAAACTTGGTTCCACTTACTTGCATGATTTGATCGGTATAAATTTCAGGAGGACAGAAATACCAACTCCTAAAAGCTGTCTTGCTTCAAGAACGTCTTCCGCAACAGGAATCATGCTTTTAACAGGATAATCTCCAGCCCGATTCCTAATTCTTTTTAGAATCATAGGCCGTAGCCTCTTCCAGTCAACTTTTGAACTATAAAATCTTAAATTCATGACCCGATTCATCTGCCCAAATGCCATGCAACCTGAATACAATAGCATGTACAATTTAAACTGAATGCTTCAAAGTAAAAA